CCCCATATTTTGATTTTTAACCTCCAAGCAGGTTTCCCATAATGACTTACTCTTCAGTTGCCAAATAAAACCAGTATTCTTATATCTAAAATGATATCTAAGGAGGGCGTGCACATCTAGGGAGATGCTATGCATGTAACTGAACCTGCTCCTGTAGGATGATAGGACATCAACAGATAATTTAAACTGAGTTGTACTAAGGTTTAACACTAATGCAGTAAGTTATATGTCTGCTGAGCTGTGGTTAAAGTACCATAAGTAAGTGGGCTAGAATGCAATTTGGCCTACGTACCCTTGCAGGAAGATGCAACTCTGTGGGTGCGTCTACGCAAGACACTAAAAGTGCAGTAGACTAATTCTACTGCACATTAGCATGTCATGGCAAAAAGCACTAGCGCACTAATGTGCAGTAGAATTAGTCTACTGCACGTTAGCGTCACGTAAAAGATGTGCACTGGGGCTACTGTGCAGTAGCGCCATTTATGGTACATCTAGTACCTGGTACTAAACTTAATGCGCCAAATTTATGCACATGTAGACATGTCCAGTGTGAGCTGCATGGTCCTCGGGTTAAAAGGCTTGGGACTAAGCAGTACTGGGCTCCCATTTGCTTCCCTTTGGGATCCTCCCCACCCCTCAGGGACACTTGAGTCACTTTGTCTTCTGGAACCAGTGCTGGGGTCCTGCAGGTTACCCATCAACCTTTGTGCAATGTGGACCCTCATGTCTCCATTCAACCCAATGTTAAGAGCCAACTGTGATTTGACATCCAGTAGTCATCAACACATATTTTTTTCCTTCAAATCCTTTCTCTAAGCCAGTTTAAAATAGAACCTGGTTTTCCAGTGTACGTATGAGCTGTAAACAGGCAATTTAAGGGTAACTGAGAACAATTTAGCAATCAAAAGAGCTTTAGTTCAGCATAATCTCAGAGAAAGCACACACGGGTAAATGCAACTGACACCCCGGTGTGGAGGCTGTTTGCATTTGTAACATACCTCAAACCTGCAGTTCATATTCCAAGCCAGACCTGGAGCATCAGAAGCTGTTTCCGGCATTTAAAATGAATTATGTGTGTGTGAATCACAAGTGCATAACAATTTTTATTAGATTTGTCTTTGTGTGTCTCCTACTCCTGTGAATAATATCACTGCACAAATCTGTGACAGAATGTCAATGACGATATGATGCAGGGGAGCAACGTAACGCCATCAGTGCGGGAGGTATTATTTCAGCCCAAAGAAAATTACACATCTTCATCCTCGCTGACAACCTAAACAATGCTGCATTTGAAACATAAATGATACACTGCTTAGCTGAAAGAGCCATTAGACATATGATGGAGAGTGGAAGTGAGCTAACTGCCTTCTTAGAACAAATGGCGCTTCGTATTTTGTATGAGCAAGGTGACAGATTTTTTTTTTTAATTTGCTTTCATATTTTGCTTTTCAAAAAGAAAACAAAATGAACAGGGATGACTGAGGACTGAAAATCCACGTGCTGGAAGAGTGTTCACTGCTCCTTTAATACTGGAAACAGACTGATTGATTGCATCTCACCAACCTGAAGAGCAGCCCCCATTCCAGCATCTCTGTTTCTCATCACTTATCCAGTTTCTTGGTTCCTCTCCTTGTGAGTGTCCTTATCAAAAGCTTTCAGTAAATCAGAGCAACTTCTGTCTGCTGGGTGATCTACTTATTACCTCTGCAGGCTCAGACTGCCTGGTTTCTTTATCCAGTTATGATCATCCTTCTACAGCTCCTCTAAGCCACTGGAGAAATGAAGTGTGACACACAACAGTTGCATGGATTTAAATCTGCATGTATATTCCCTTCCACTAATCCTGCACTTTATCACAATAAACACATTGTTTTTGAAGTGCCAGCCTGGAAAAATCTTAGGGGGTGTAGCATAGAAATGTTTGTGTGTAATCAGGGGGGGAGCCAGGATTTGGCAAAGTGGGGTGCAGAAGCAGCAACCCGTGCTGCAGGAGTCCTCCTTTCAGGCTCCACCCTAGCTCACCACCACCACTGCTTTCCCTGCTGTCCAGGAGCTTCCAAGCCCAGCCCCTGCTTAGCCCAGCTGGAGCGGGCAGGAGCAGCTCTGAAGCTCCCAGGACAGGAGCTCCCTGGTCCCCTGGACAGCAGGGACACAGATGAGGGAAA